AAAAAAAAAAAAAAAAAAAAAAAAAAAAAAAGAATTATTTCTTGCTGCTGCTGCTGCTGCTGTTGCTGCTGCTGCTGTTGCTGCTGCAGTAGTATTAGTAGTTTGTGTGGTTGTTGGTTGGTATAGATTGTGTGTTGCTTGTTGTTGCTGCTGCTGCTGTTGCTGCTGCTGCTGCTGCTGCTGCTAATAATAATAATAACCACTATTAATATTTATATATATGTATCTTATTGTCAATAAACTGTTGCTGTTGCTGTTGCTGCTGCTGCTGCTGCTGCCCCTTTTCCTACGGTGTGTGCTGTTGTTGCTGCTCCTGCTGCTGCTGCTGTTGCTGCTGCTGATGTCTTCGCCCCTTTTGCTGCTAATTATGCTGTACCTCCTCTTGTTTATAATGTTGCTGTTGTTGTTATTGCTGCTGCTGCTGCTGCCGCTGCTGCGGTGTTGCTGCTGCTGCTGACGCTGCTGCTGCTGCTGCTGTGGATGGATGGCCTGCAGCAGCACAGGAGCCTACGAGGTGTCTTGACAGCTAACGAGCAGCAGCAACCAACAAAGAAGAAAAAAAAAAGAAATAAATATTAATTTATTTATATATACATATAAGGAGACACTCAATAAAAGAAGAAAAAAAACAATATATGCCTGCTGCTCCTGCTGCTGCTGCTGCTGCAGATGGCAGCGGAGGCAGCAGCAGCTGCTGCTGCTGCTGCTACCGGTCAGCTGTGGCTGCAGCAAAGAGGATAAAGGGGGCCCCCCTTCTTCGTGGGTACAGAAGCCAGAGGCTGCTGCTGCTGCTATTGCTGCTGCTGCTGTTGCTGCTGTTGCTGCTATTGTTGCTGCTGCTGCTACTTTATTTACTGTATTTTATTGGTATTTATTAAGAAATAATTAACAGCAGCAAACTGCTGCTGCCTATACACTGCAGCCGACAGACAAACGCAGCAGCGCCTCTTTCCTGCTGCTGCTGCTGCAGGCTTAGTAAAAGTGTCTCCTTTTGTGTCTCCTTTTGTGTCTCCTTAAGTGTCTCCTTATCTCCCTATACACCCCAATTACCCCTCTCATAGAGTATTAACTAACTCATTCCTTAGGGCGCAGCAGCAGCAGCAGCAGCAGCAGCAGCAGCAATAGCAGCAGCAGAAGAGACGACAGGCAATAGAGTGTCCAACTCAAGCCCATCAATAGAATCACCGCAGCAGCAGCAACATCAACAGCTGCTGCTGCTGCTGCTGCTGCTGCAGCAGCAGCAGCAGCAAATAGCTGCGTCATGTCCAATAAACAGTTAGATAAAGTGTCTCCTCTAGTGTCTCCTTGTCTCCTTTTTGTTGCTGCTGGTACATGGGGAGATTTCCTCCCCCTCTTTGCTGTTGCTGCTAACGCTGCCCTTCAGCTCTCTAGGGGGCCCCCATGGGGGCCCCCTGGGGGCCCCCCCACGGGGCCCCCCAATAGCTGCTGCAGCACTCAAGAGACTCTAAAGGGTATAAAGGAGACACTGCAGCAGCAGGAGACAGCAGCAGATAAGGAGATAAAGGAGACAGTAGATAAGGTAATAAAGGAGACAATAAATAAAAAGGAGACAGTAAATAAAAAGGAGACAGTAAATAAAAAGGAGATAGGGGGCCCCCCTTATATAATAATTGCGGCTGCTAATTGTTGGATAAAACAAATAATAAATGAATATAATTTACGGTGTATAGGCACCTCTATAAGTGTCTCCTTACAGACACAAGAAGATAATAACAGCAGCAGCAGCAGCAGCAGCAGCAGCAGCAAGTCAATATACAACCAGCCTACAGCAGCAGCAGCTAGAGAAACAGCAGCAGCAGCAGCAGGAGTGTCTCCTCTTATTCGTTTAATGAATGGGGAGACACTTGCTGCTGTAGAGATTTGCTGCTGCTTGCCGCTGCTGCTGCTGCCTCTCCCTTCTTTGCCAATTCTTCCTGCTGCTGCTGCTGCTGCTAATCTCTTCTCTATTAATGAGGTGTCTCTTCTTGTCTCTCTTATTAAGGAAGGAGCAGAGCTTATACTGCCGCAGCAGCAGCAGCAGCAGCAGGAGCAGCAGGGGGGACAGCAGCAGCAAGAACAGCAGCAACACGAGCAACAGGAGCAAGAGCAGCAGCAGCAGGAGCAACAGCTGCAGCAGCAGCGTGGTATATTGTTGCAGCCTGCTGCTGTAGCATTAGGTTTATTTGCTGCAGTGTATGCGCATGCAGCAGCAGCAGCAAATATTCCTTATTTGCTGCTGCTGCCGTCTCCTTATTCACGTCCAGCCCCAATTGATTTCTTTAATCGTCTCTTTATTCAATACCCTGAGCTACCCAGTCTACTGCATGCAGCTGAGCAGCAGCAGCAGCAACAGGAGCAGCAGCAGCAGCAGCAGCAGATGGATAGGCTTGAGCTATGGGCCTTGAGGCATTCGCTACGCCCAATAACAAAGGCAGACTTAGAGTAAGGACTTCTGTCTGCTGCTGCTGCTGTTGCTGCTGCTGCTGCTGCTGCTCTAGACATATTTTATTCTTTATGCTGTTGCTGCATCGACTATCGTCAGTTGCTGCTGCTGCTGCTGCTGCTGCTGCTGCTCGTTTTTCTCCTTCTGTTGCCGTTATTGCTCCTACTGCTACTATTGTTCTTATTACTCGTCGTTCTGCTGCTGCTGTTGCTGCTGCTGCTGCTGCTGTTGCTGCTGCTGCTGCTGCAGGCACTGGATGTGGCGTTTGTGTCTTAGTGACAGCGGAGACTTCCGTGAGAAGTTTTTAGGTTTGTCTCCTTCCCTCTTTGACTCTAATAGAGCAGCAGCAGCAGCAGCAGCAACAGCAGCAACAGCAGCAGCAGCAGCAGACGCAAGTGCAGCAGCGGCTGATCAGTGTGAGAGAGGAGGAGCAGGAGGTGCAGCAGCAGCAACAGCAGCAGCAACAGCAGCAGCAGAGGGAGAAGATAGTATACAAGAGCTTGCTGCTCTCCCTCGTGCTGCTGCTCTTGTGTGTCTGTGGAGTCCCTGTCTCTTTACTGCAGCAGCAGCAAACTTGCCTCCTCTTGCTGCTGCAGTAGGGCCAGCAGCAGTACCGTGGGCCCGCCTCCTGGAGCACCAGCAGAAGCACCAGCAGCAACAGCAGCAGCAGCACCAGCTGCAACCGCTCCAACAACAGCAGCAACAGGAGCAGCAGCAGCAGCAGCAGCAGCAGCAGCAGCAGCCTCTCCATCGCATTCGTCTCTTTGGCCATGGAGGAGTTCCTGTTGGCCCTCCGGAGTTGCTGCTGACGTCTGAGGAGTTGCTGCAGTTGCTGCTGCAGCCTGAAGCAGCAGCAGCAAAACAGCAGCAGCAGCAGCAGCAGCAGCACCTGCTGGATTCAGTTAATTGCGGCAGCAGCGAGGAGTCTTCTGCTGCACCTCCTCTAAGGTCCACCCAGCCCCTGTGGCAACCAGCAGCAGCAGCAGCAGCTGCTGCTGCTGCTGCAGCTGATGCAGATGGTGTAACAAAGAAGCAGCGACTAATGCATGCAAATGGTGACCTCACTGTCTCCAAAGAGACACAAGCCTCGCAGCAGCAGCAGCAGCAGCAGCAGGAAGCTGCTGCTGCCTCTAGTCGGCAAGCGGCGGACATATTGAAATTGTTGCCGCGTGTTGCTTTCTGCAGCAGCAGCAGCAGCAGCAGCAATGGCAGCAGCAGCAGCAGCAGGGAGGAAGAGGGAAGCAGCAGCGAGGGATTTATTGTGGTGTCTTTAGGCAGCATGCTGTGTCTGCTGCTGAATGTGCTGCCGTGCTGCAGTTGTCTCCTGTCTCTCTTATCTGCTGCAGCAAAACTCCTAAGACGCAGGTAAGCAGCAGCAGCAGCTGCTGCTGCTGTCTCTGCATGCCTGTCTCTTTCCCCCCTCCCTCGGGGCTGTCTCGGCAACTCCACAAGCATGCATGCATGCATGCATGCATGCTTGTTAATAATAATATAATAATAATAATAATATTATGTCTGCTGCTGTCTCCTGTCTCCTGGCTCCTTGTGAGTGTCTCCTGTCTCCTTTCTGGTGTCTCCTCAGGTTGCTGCTGGTGGCAGCATCTGCTGCCTTTTGTCCATGTAATTATTTTGCTGCTGTCTCCTCAACAAAGGAGACAGCAGCAGCAAAAGGCCTTAATGCCCTTGGTGCTGCAGCAAGAAGAGACACACAAGTGCTGCTAGTACTGTCTCCTTTTGATTGCCCTGCGCTGCTAAAGCTGCACCAACAGCAGCAGCAACAGCAGCAGCAGCAGCAACAGCAGCAGCAGCAACGCGATACAACTACACAGGCGCCACCAACACAGCAACAAGCAGCTGCTGCACCAACTGCAGCAGCAGCAGCAGCAGCAACCGGCAAGCAATCCTCCATCTGTATTGTCTCTCATAGTAGCGCAGGCTCTGGTAAGCAGTAATACATACAGGAGCAGCACGAGCAGCAGCAGCAGCAGCAGCAGCACCATCTGCTGCTGCTTTCTGCTCGTCTTTTCCCTGCAGCCACAAATAGTGTGGGTCCATCTTCTGTTGCTGCTGCTGCTGCTGCTGCTGTTGTGTCTGTGCAGCTGCTGCCTTCTCCTCCTTGTCTGGCGTATCTCATCTGCTGCTGCCGCTGCTGTTCGATCAGCAGCAAGTAGGGCAATGCATGCAGCATGCAGGTTTGGGGCTTGTTGCCTCTGAGGAATTATTAGATGCATTTGCTGCTGTTACTGCACAAGAAGCTGCGGTGCAGCAGAGACATATTCAGCAGCAGCAGCAAGAACAACAGCAGCAACAGCTCCTGCTGCAACAGCAGCAGCAGCAGCAGCAGCTTGCATGCAGTGCAACGGATGGCGTGGGGGATTTCTCCTCTATCTTTTTTGCCACCGATGAATCCACCGAACAGGACGAGCAGCAGCAGCAGCAGCAGCAACAGCAGCAGCAGCAGCAACAGCAGCAGGGCAGCCACGTCTGTCTTAATCCTGGCTCCCCTGTGCTGCTGCGTGCAGCCTTAGCCTTATCCAATGATATTCGTGCTGCAGAGGCAGCAGCAGCAGCAGCAGCAAAAGAGGGAAAGCGAGAAGCAGCAGCAGCAGCAGCAGCAGTTTCTGCTGCTGAAGATGGCGCTGCTGCTGCAGCACGCTGTTGCCTCGCGCTGCTGCAACATGCCAGTCGTACGTAGCAGCAGCAGCAGCAACAGCAAGAGCAGCAGCAGCAGCAGCTGCTGCTGCCAGCTTTTGTTATCCTCCGTTGCAGAGACGAAGTTCGTCAATGCAGTTCGTTGCTGTTGCTGCTCGCTTGCTGCTGCTGCTACTCTGCAGCAGCAGCAGCAGCAGCAACAGGAGCAAGACCCTAAATATGTGCACTTTTATACTATCGCTATTGTGTGCTGCTGCTCCCCTATGCATGCAGCTGCTTCCCTATGCATGCAACTACGTAAGTATAAATAGATGCACCAATACAGCAGCAGCAGCAGCAGAAGCAGCAGCAACAGCAGCAGGACAGCTAGCTAATCCATATGCCAAGTAGTGCAGCCCGTGGCTAGCTGTGCCTATCAGTAGCTAGCTGTACCGTCAACTATAGCTTGCTGTACGGGTAACTATGGCTAGCTAGCTGTAGCTAGCTGGCTGTAGCTAGCTAGCTGTGGCTAGCTAGCTGTGGCTAGCTGTAGGTGTATAGATGTAGCTAGCTGAGCTCTTAGCAGCAAAAGTATAGAAATAAACAACCGTCTCTTTTTGTCTCCTTATAAAGGAGACAGCAGCAAAGTGTCTCTAATGGGGTGTCTCCTTAGGTACTCCTGCTGCTGCTGCTGCTGCTGCTGCTGCTGCTGCAGTTGCATAGGCACCTGCTGCAGCAGCAGCTGCATACATGCATACAGAGGAGACACTTGTCTTGTCCCCTTCTTATAATAAATAATATATACTGTCTCTTTATTTATTTATATAAGTATTTACTGTCTCCTTATTAACAATAAGAGAGGGACTGTCTCCTCCTTCCCTTCTTTTTGCGGTGTCTCCTCAGCTGCTGTCTCCTTTGCTGCATCTGTCTCCTTTTTTTTATTTGTCTCCTTTTTTTTTGTCTCTTTTTTTATTTGTCTCTTTTTTTGTCTCCTTTTTGCTGGTTGCTATTTCTTTTTCTTTTTTCTTCTTTTTTGTCTCCTTTTGCTGCTGCATGCATCTTTCTTTTATTCCTTTTCTCCTTAATAATATTATTAACAATTATTATTAATTAATTAATTAATTATTATTATTTATTATTATTATTATTAATTCTTTATTATTATTAAACTGCTGTTGTATGCGCTGTGCTGCTCCTCTCCCTGTCTCCTTTTTGTCTCCTTTCTCCTTTTTGTCTCCTTTCTCCTTCTTTGTCTCCTTTCTCCATTTTTGTCTCCTTTCTCCTTTTTGTCTTCTTTTTCTTCCTTAAGGGAGAGGGCCAAGGGATTGTCTCCTTCCCTTATTAATAAATAAATAAAGAAAAAGGAGACACTTTATTTGTCTCCTTTTCTTGTTTAGGTGTCTCTTCTCTGTCTCCTCCCTCCTCCTCCTCCACCTTACCCTGTCTCTTTTTATTTATTTGTCTCTTTTTATTTATTTGTCTCTTTTTATCTGTCTCTTTTTTATTTGTCTCCTTTTTTGTCTCCTTTTTTGTCTCTCTGTCTCCTCCTCCCCTCCGTACTATCCCGTCCTCAGGAGACAAAGGAGACTCTCCTCTATCTTATTGTCCCTTATATATATATATATATATATATATATA